CACTAAGCTCGGCTGGTGACGCCGTATGACGGTGTTGGTGCTAGTTGCTCCTTCGGGCTTTTGCCGTGATACGGTGGTTTGAGGCCCCAGCAAGCAAGCATGCAGAGCCCGCAGCAGCACTTGCATCCGCCACATCAAGATTGAGTCAGCACCAAGCCTTTCTGGCAAGTGGTGCACCCGGGCAACTAGGAGTTGGCAGGCGCAGGTGTTGAGGACCTCTAGCTGCAAAAAAGTGGAATGTCAGCGGCTTTGGACCACGTCGTTGCCAAGAAACCAAGCATCCTCTGCCGTATTCAGGATTCCGAAGTTGTGCAGACGGGTGAGCAGGAGACCAGTGATGCAATCAAGGTCCAGAGGCTCAGGCCCGTTGGCTCACGTGCGGAGACTTGCAGAGCTTCAGAGCGGATGCCTGACGGCCTGACGACCTCCTGCATAGCGCTCTGAACAGCTGCCCGCCGTCTATCAGAGGCTTAGAGGGGGGGTAGGATTCCGGTATGCCGGTGCTTGGGCATGTGAGCTGATCTTGGGCATGTGAGCTGATCTGGGAGTTTTCATGGCTTTAACGTCTCCGGCCTTGAGGCTGTGGAAGGCTTCGGCGTCTGTAGGTTTCAGAGGGACGTTTGAGGGTATAAAGCGGTCAGGCGGATTTTGCTTGAGTTCCAGCGGATTTTCGTCGCCCTGAAGAGATTTGCGGCAAGAAGGTTTGCAAGGGTGTGGTCAAGTTTCGAAAGCACTCTTCAAAGTCTCGGCAGTAGGGGATGGTAGGCTTGTAGCAGACTCTAAGTGCAACTTTGCCACAGACCACGGCAACACGGGAGACAGAAGGACTCTCTGCCGTGGGCACTGAATTCCATGCTGGTCTCTGTGCTACAGTCCCCTGTCGCCCCAGCGCTGCCTCTGCATGTCGATGCATCTGCTTGTCAGCAATGTGCTTGGGATCCCGCTACATATGGCTCTTCGGGAAGACACTGTCACAAGGCTCCCATGGAGCGTCAATGATCCCTACTCTGTCCACCTCCCCCCCCTACTGTTCAGTTGAAATTTCTTTCGCAGCATTTGACATTGATATCATTGATTTACCCTCTGACGCGGCTGGGGGTCGGCACGCCTGTAGCTCGGTTTCCTTTGACCAGCAAAGCCTGTTGTCTTCCGAAATAGCTGCACATGTGTTCATCCAGTCGTGGCAGTGTCCATGCTGCGTGGATGCAGAATGTAACTCAGGCTTCTGGTCTTGTGACCACGGACAGCAGGGCTGTCTATGTCTACTTTTTTAATCTATTCATGCCCCAGCAGCCTGTCGACCTCGCTGCATCCTTGCATCCGCGGCGATCAACGGGCATGCGTGTGAGATCAGCTGTGTAGCGTTTCCTGCGTCGTTGATGCCGTGAGACAGAGGGATGCTCTGTCGACTGCCTCTCGCGATGCCATCGCCACTTGCCGTTGCTCTGAGATCAGCAGCTATCGATGAAGGCTCACAGTACTTGATCGCTGATGCAGCCTTTGTCTTGTAATCACCGAGCTCTTTACATGTTGGGCGAGCAGTGCTCCAGCTTCTTGGGCCTGCTTGCCCAGCAACTATGCAGCGGACAGCTTGTCCTTTCGCATTGCTATGTCATGCTCCAAATGCTGGCTTTTCGGGTGAAACGCCCACGACCGCCACCCCGAACTTGTCAACGTGTCCAGTGCTTTTTGGGGTTGTTGAAATCTCGACATCCCAGATGCCGAGTGCGCCGAGTTGGTGCGTCGATGCACGGAGAAGCGTGTGTGCCTTCACGACAGATATCGCTGCACTTGCCCACGCCGCGCTGCAGGCAAAAATCAGCCCTGAGATCCGATCTTTGAGTGTTGCATGATATTTGGGGTCTGGATGCAGGCTGCAGGATTTCAGGTGGCAAGCGCGATTCTAATTTATCCAAGTCGCAATGGACCCGATTGGGGGGGTGGGGTGAAAGGCTTGCATGATGGTATTCTCTGTGATGCTGCCTTGCAGGATGAACCAGTTATGTACAGACAATCCAGACAGACAGACAGCCAGACAGACACACCACACACTAGTTGGAGAATATAGCCTCTGAGATTTCAACAATAGCTGTCGAAAGCCCTTTCATCGATAGTCCGGTAGACAAACGACAGCCTCGATTGTCATTCCTGCTTGGAGAACACACCGGAGGGGTTGTCGTGTTGGAGACTTATTGCTACATCGCTGTGGGTTTTCGGGGTGTTGGGGTAGTGCTGAGTTCACTGTAGCTCACGAAGTCGCATTCCGGCAAGAAAAACCTGCATCGAGCTGTATGTGGGCGAGGAACATCGTCGTGCCAAGCAAAATTCGCAAACTCCGCGGAATTTACAGCACTTTCGCTCCTTGGGAGTGCGGATTGACCTTCTGCTGTGGCGGAACGGGGGGGTGCTTGGGCACGTTGGTGTGTAGTGTCTCGGGTGAGTTTCTTCATTCTGCACGCTACCCCAGGCAAACCTGGAGGCCCGACACCCTACAGACTTGGAGAGGCAGCACCTCAATAACGGTTGCTTCCTGTCTACATCACTGCAGCAGCTTCCCCGGATTTTGGGCTTCAGGTGTTACTGAATGTTTGGGTTTACGTTTCCTGGACCTTTTCCTCATGACAGGCATTGTTCATCAAGGGTAGCTTCAAGGCATGATTATCCCCTTCACAAAGTTTTCCCGAAACAAGCTTGCGCAGACACCCCACGTTTTTTTTTCCAAACTGGCTAACCCTTTCGGGGTGGCGAAAAGCGGCACTTCCTGGTTTTTCGTCATTGACGAACGGGCTTGAGCCTTTGACTTATTCGGCACATGTGTCAAGTTTTGCTCTCCATGCCACTGTTTGAATCTTGGCCGATACTGTGTGCTTTTGTGCCTGTCAGCATTCGAATCTGCATAACTGCAGGTAGGGACACTGACTCCATGGAAATGTTTCAGCATTGTGTCTCTTGGCGACCACAAGTTTGAGTAGTTGATATCGGAATATGAACTTCGGAAGACTGCGAGCCGTGTTTCAAAGGGAGTAATGTAGGCTAGGATAGTTTTTTTGAAACAGCAGACCATCCAGACGTCAGTGGCATCGCGCCGCAGATGTGGTACACTCAGTATGTTTCTGCGTGGCACAATCCGGCAGTAGTACCGGGCCGCAAGACCGCTGTTGGCTTGGTTGATGGAGGTCTTACTTCTATTATATTAATATAATATAATATAATATATTTTTTTATAATATAATATAATATAATAT